AAATCAGCAAGCCAGCCAGCCGCACCTTGCAGTTAGCACTGCAACTGGAGCTGTGTAATCGCGATTTTCTGGCGAAAGGTAGATAGATTCTCCATTACGCCTGCCGGTCATTCAAGAGAGACAGACCTCTCATGTATTAGGGACAGAGTTAGGGCCATTTTAGAGACTTTAGCGGCCACTCGAATCGTTACTTAGGGAGAGGACAGAATCTCGTTATTTTTAGGGGACACAGAATCGTTACTGTCAGAGGGACACAAGAATTGTTACTCAGCAGGGACAACAGAATTGTTACTAAGGGCCAGAAACTGAAAATCGATACTCAGAGACAGACACAGAATTGTTACTCTAGAGGACACAGAATTGTTACTCTTTAGGGACACAGATAATTGTTACTCAGGGACACAAATTGTTACAAGAGGGACACAGGAATTCGTTTACTCATGGACAGACACAGAATTGTTACAAAAGGGACACAGAATTGTTACCTCAGGGACACAGAATTAGAGTTACTCAGGGTACAGACAGAATTGTTACTTATGTGGACACAGAATTGTTACTGCAGGGATCAGACACAGAATCGTTACTCAGGGACACAGAATTGTTAATCTAGGGGGACACAGCCATTGTTACTGAGGGGACATAGATAGAATTGTTAACCTCAGGGGTACACAGAATCGTTTACGGAGGGACACAGGAATTGTCTTTACTCAGGGACACAGAATTGTTACTCAGGGACAGACACAGATATTGTTACTCAGGGACCACAGAATCTGTTACTTGAGGGACACAGAATTGTTACTCATGGGACACACTGAATTTTGTTACTGTAGGGGACCACAGAAGCGTTACTCAGGAGACACAGAATTGTTACTCAGGGACACCAGAACTTTGTTACTCAGGGACAGACACAGAATTGTTACTCAAGGGTCAGACACAGAATGTTACTGAGGGACAGACACCAGAATTGGGACTCAGGGACACAGAATTTGTTTACTCAGGGACAACAGACACAGAATTGTTACTCAGGACAAGACACAGAATTTGTTACTCAGGGACATCAGTAATTGTTACTCAGGACACGAGAATTGTTACTGAGGGGACACAGAATTCGTTGACTCAAGGACGACACAGAATTGAATACTCAGGGGACACAGAACTTGTTAGCTCAAGGGACAGACTACAGTAATTGTTACTTCAGGACAGACTCAGAAAGACATTGTTACTCAGGGACAGAACAGCTGAATTGGTACTTGAGGACAGTACACAGAAATCGTTAGACTCTGGGACTCAGAATCGAGATACTTCAGGGACACAGAATCGTTACTGTGGGATATCAGGAATGTGATATATTTGGACGGGACACAGTTTGTCGTGGAACTAGAACGGGTAGTGGTTCCACAATGCAATTTGTGTGTATCGGACACATAATTAAGCTTATCTGAAAGGACACAGAGCTTTATTCACTTCTAGGGAACTGGACACTGCTGATTATTACTGAGGGGCCAACAGGTATATATGTTTAATCCAGGGACACTTATATTTATATATATACACGTGTATATATATATTATATTTTTACTCGTGTATATTAATATATATATATATATACAGGGATACGCATACATATTTTTGTGCACCCGTGCCGCCCTGTAGCTGCATTGTTACTGTAGTAGGGCGGATCAGAAGCGGCTAATACATACCATACACCCAGGATAGACAGATGCCCATACAGAATTGTTACTCAGGGTACACTCACAGGAATTTGTTTACTGAGGGACAACGCCTGAAGTGTTACTACATGGAGAGGGACATGTATCGTTACTCAGGGACACAGATTTGTTACTCAGGGACACAGAATTGTTACTCAGGGACACAGAATGCGTTACTGAGGGGACACAAAGATTGTATACTCGGGGAGGACTGAATCATTACAGGAGGTAGTGACACAGGAGGGCCTTATTCGTTTTCTGGTGCGAGCTAGACGTGGCCAGCAGAGGGAATTCGGGGTCGTTTTCTAGCAACTGTCGCTGACCAGAGGCCAGTGCTCCTCAGGTTGTCATCACAGCGGTCGTGTCTCTCAGGGACACAGACAGAAACTGCGTCATCGACTCAGTTGACACAGGTGTCTTCCTACTTCCCAGGGGACACTCTTGAACTCTACAGCCAACGGTCGGAGGGTACGTCAGACTCATTCGTTAGTTGGCATGGACACGGCGGGAGCAATTGCCCAATGAGGGATCAAGAATTGTCCTCGACTCAGGGACCCAGTCCTTTGGTGTTCCCTCACCAGGGGCGACACAGAATCGCATACTGAGGGCTCAACCGAATTGTTACAGTCAGAGCACAGAATTGTTATCTCAGGGCGGGTCAGAATTTGTTACTCAGGGACATCAGCCTCTTCAGCAAAAGCTCAGGCGGAGGAAGGGAATAGAATCATGTGTCGTGAGGAAGCGGGGACTGGCGTGGGTAAAACGAATGCAAAGATAAGGAAAGCGTAAATCTCCAAAAGACAACATCGCAGCCCGACAAAGGCAAAAGGTTTTAAAGAACTGATGCAATGCCAAAACTGAGCGATGTTGCTCGTGGATCGCAGAGTAAACCGCCCTCGCCGGCATCTGCCAGCGGCCAATAGCCTATTCGCTACGTTTTCAGCTGATCGGAACCCCCAGTACATCCTTCTCCACATGCCTCCTCCAGCGGTACCTGTAATCTGTCAATGGGCCGACCTGTACCCCCTGCTCATGCTGCTGCCAGGTCCGGACGGTCTCATGGGCATTCCCTGGACGGCCTCCCATTGTGCTGTCTCCATCGCCACACTCTGCCATTGTCACTTTTCAGGTCTCCTCACACTGCTGGTGGGGGTTCCATTTTGTCATAGGGTGCTGGCGATTACGGGCCTCCCATTGCTGCTGCCAGGCCCGTAATCTGTCCATGGGCCCCTGTACCGCCTCCTCATGCTGCTGCCAGGTATCCAGAGTGTGTCATGGGTCCCTGTACGGATACCTCCTTTGCTGCTGTCTCCATCGCCACACTCTGCCATGTGCCACTTTCAGGTCTCCTCACACTGCTGGTGGTGTTCCATTTTGTCATAGGGTGCTGGCAGATTACGGGCCTCCCCTTGCTGCTGCCAGGCCCGTAATCTGTCATGGGCCCCTGTTCCGCCTCCTCATGCTGCTGCCAGGCCCGTAATCTGTCATGGGCATACGGTCCTCCCATTGCTGCTGTCTCCATCGCCACACTCTGCGATTGTGCCACTTTCAGGTCTCCCCTCACACTGCTGGTGGGTTCCTTTTTTGTCATAGGGTGCTGGCTCAGATTACGGGCCTCCCATTGCTGCTGCCAGGCCCGTAATCTGTCATGGGCCCCTGTACGCCTCCTCATGCTGCTGCCAGGCCCCGTAAATCTGTCATGGGTCCTGTACGGCCCATTGCTGCTGTCTCCATCGCCACACTCTGCCATGTGCCACTTTCAGGTCTCCTCACACTGCTGGTGGGTTCATTTTTTGTCATAGGGTGCTGGCAGATTACGGGCCTCCCATTGCTGCTGCCAGGCCCGTAATCTGCCCTGTGGGCCCCTGTACCGCCTCTCATGCTGCATGCCAGGCCTCCCCGTAATCTGAGTGTCATGGGTCCCTGTACGGCCTCCCATTGCTGCTGTCTCCATCGCCACACTCTGCCATGTGCCACTTTCAGGTCTCCTCACACACTGCTGGTGGGTTTCCATTTTGTCATAGGGTGCTGGCAGATTACGGGCCTCCCAATTGCTGCTGCCAGGCCCGTACCGACTCCTTCATTATCGTAATCCTTGGGCCATGGGCTCCCCCTGTTACCGCCTCCTCATGCTGCTGCCAGGTTCTCCCGTAATCTGTCATGGGTCCCTGTACGGCCTCCCATTGCTGCTGTCTCCATCACCACACTCTGCCATGTGCCACTTTCAGGTCTCCTCACACTGCTGGTGGGTTCCATTGTCATAGGGTGCTGGCAGATTACGGGCCTCCCATTGCTGCTGCCAGGCCCGTAATCTGCCATGGGCCCCCGTACCGACTCCTCATGCTGCTGCCAGGCCCGTAATCTGTCATGGGCCCCTGTACCGACTCCTCATGCTGCTGCCAGGTCCAGAGTGTGTCATGGGTCCCTGTACGGCCTCCCATTGCTGCTGTCTCCATCGCCACACTCTGCCATGTGCCACTTTCAGGTCTCCTCACACTGCTGGTGGGTTCCATTTTGTCATAGGGTGCTGTATGGCCTCCCATTGCTGCTGCCTCCACCGCCACACTGTGGCTCCACACTCTGGTTTTGGCCCCGTGACTGCCCAAATGAGTGAAGTGTGCGGTGATTCTAAGATCGACGGCACTCATCTGCATGTCATACTGACTGACAGTATTATTTCTCTTCCCCAGCAGACTCCAAGGGCATTTAAATTAAAGGTACAGTGTTCTGCACTAATATAAAGGCTCTCTAAGCCTAGAAACACCCTTTTTATAAGTTAAATTCGCAGCGAATATATTCGACTCGAATCGAATTTATTCCGCGAATTCGCCGAATCAGCCGAATCGAATTTTTGAATACTTCGCTCATCTCTACTGACAACCCTAGACCATTCAGAGTATGAATTCAGAGTTTTTCCAAGCCCACAGGCTTTAACTTACACATTAGCCATGTGTGGGGAACTGTGCCAAACACTTTAGCAAAATCCAAGTATACCACATTGAACGTCACCCCTCTGTCCAAGGTTTTGCTCACCCCCTCATAAAAAGAAATCAGATTTGTTTGACAACTTCTGTCTTTCATGAATCCATGCTGTCTGTTTTGTTTTGGTTTTTTTTGGTGGATGGTGGAAGGGTCTTTGCCTCCCAGGCTGCTGACTGAGGAAGGTGTATCTGCGGAGAGGTGCAGTCCTTTCCCAAAAAAGAGAACGAAAGCTAAGAAACGTTTCTTTGCTCTCCTAGTTGCCTATCTGGGCCTAGAGCATCCTAAACTCACCTGTTGAAGAAAGTAGAAAGATAGCACTGGACCCGTTAGTTTGTTTTACTGGTATTGTTTTCTTAAGTTATTAATGTTGCAGAAAGATTGCAGCCACAACTGCCAGAAAAATTGTTTGGGATACAAGGAAAAACCCACAGGTAACCTCAGGAGAAATACAGGCTGCTCTGGAAAAAGACGGTGTGGTTGTTTTGAAGGAACACAATATGACAATACTTGAACAAAAATGAGTTCGAGTTGCCAGAAAGAATCCTTTACTGCCTCACCACCACAAAAAAGCCTAATTACAATATACCAAACAACAATTTAACACGCCTCACTGGGCTTATTTGTGGCATTGGAGCAGTTATGGCTTCTATCTGGCAACTTGACCATGCAGCTCATTTTTGTTCAAGCATTGCTGTCTTGTGCTCCTTCAAAACAACAACACCATCTTTTACTCAGAGCAGCCTGTATTTCTCCTGAGGTTACCTGTAGATTTTTTTATTTTTATGCCAAACAATTCTTCTGGCAGTTGTGGCTGTAATCTTTCTTGGTCTACCTGTACTTGGCTTTGGTATCAAGAGATCCTCTAAGTTTCCACTTCTTAAAAAGTGATTAATCTTTTTATATCCTTTTCCATCTTTGCAACGTTCCATCACCTTGTTATGCAGGTTTTTTTACAGTTCTTTTCTGATCCCCATGGCTCAATATCTAGCTTGCTTAGTGCATCCACATAAGAGCTAATACATTTATTGACTATTTATACACAGAAACTAATTGCAATTTAAAAAAGCCACAGATGTTGGAAATTAGTCTTTAACCCCTTCACGCCTAAGGGTAAAACAAATCTAAAGGCCTAAGCACAATTCTGCACCATTGACATGTGATAGCAAAACCGTACATATCATCACAACTACTTTGCACATCCAGGTGGATTATACCTTGATTTTTTCAGGACAAATTGGGCTTTCATTTGGTGGTAAATGGTAATGGATATCTCCTGATTTTTTTTTTATTATCAAAGGAAAACTGGCCAAAAATAGTAAATAAAAAAAAAAAAAACCTTTTTTTTTAATTTAGCTATGTGTTTCTTGTTATGACCATAACCTACCACCAAAGAGCAACCCAAAATAAATTCTCCAGCTCTTGACGATCGCAGCGATACCATATATGTGTATGTTATTTGTTGTTTGTACCCGTAGTACAGCCCAGAAACCATAGTGGGCATTTTGTTTTTGTCTTTTTTTTTTTTTTACCTAAAACACACTAACACTAACTGACACTGACATTAACACTAACTGACACTGATACCAATTTTTTTAAAATCCTGACCTTGACTTTTGACCCTGACCTTTGACCTTGACCCTGACCTGAAGACTAACCCTGGCACTGAACTAGATCAAACCTTGATCTAGGTATTTTTTTTTATTTTTTATTTTATTTTTTTAATATTTATTTATCTTTTTTTTTTTTTACAAACTTTTTTTTTCTTTCTCTGACAGGAGTTCGAGAGATACAATGTATCTCTCTTCTCCATTCATAAGAGAGAGAGAGAAAAAAAAAACAGGGGGCCGGGCTGCACAGTGACTGATCACTGTGATAGCCAATCAGAGGCTATCACAGCGATCATGTGACCCGGGACCGGGAGTCCCGGGTCCCGATCGTTAGAACGGGACCCAGTGCTCTCAGTGACACCGCGGTCTCGGTGCTGGGAGCGCGCTGAGGGGCGCGCTCCCAACACAAAGACAGGTACGCAAATATGCGGCCCCACGGAAAAAAGCCCAGGTCCGTGAGGCCACATATTTGTGTTACGTCGGCGTCAAGGGGTTAATGATCAATTTAACCTGTGTGTCACTTTGTGTGTCTGTGCCAAGGCCAAACATTCCAAAGTATGTATTTTGACCAGGGCCATTTGGGTGATTTTTGTTACCATTATGATTTTAAAAAGGAGCCAAACAATTATGTGATAATCAATGTCTTCATATGATCACTATCCTTAAATAAAAGAAAGTTTTTCGACATGATCACATTTTCAATATCAAAGCCAAAATTCCATGATTTCTGCTAGGGTATGCAAACTTTTGCACACAACTGTATAGAGTATACTGTATATACAGTATTTACACTGCTCAAAAAAATTAAAGGAACAACATATGCTGGATATCTATACTGATATGGACTGGGTAATGTGTTAGGAACGTGAAGATACCCCATCCTTTGATGGAAATGAAAAATTATCAACCTACAGAGGACTGAATTCAAAGACACCCTAAAAATCAAAGTGAAAAAATGATGCAGCAAGCTAGTCCATTTTGCTGAAATTTCATTGCAGCAACTCAAAATTGTAGTTTGTATGGCCCCCACATGCTTGTATGCATGCCTGGCAACATCGGGCATGCGCCTAATAAGACGACGGATGGTGTCCTGGAGTATTTCCTCCCAGATCTGGACCAGGGCATCACTGACCTCCTGGACAGTCAACTTGGCGGCGTTGGATGGATCAAAACATGATATCCCAGAGGTGTTCGATTGGATTTAGGTCAGGCGAGCATGGGGGCCATTCAATGGTATCAATTCCTATATCCTCCAGGAACTGCCTGCATATTCTCCCCGCATGAGGCCAGGAATTGTCGTGCTCCAGGAGGAACTCCGGACCCACTGCACCAGCGTAGGGTCTGACAATGGGTCCAAGGATTTCATCTCGATACTTAATGGCAGTCACAGTGCCATTTTTTAGCCTGTAGAGGTCTGTGCTTCCCTCCATGGATATGCCTCCCCAGACCATCACTGACCCACCACCAAAACGGTCATGCTGAATGATGTTACAGGCAGCATAACGTTCTCAATGGCTGCTCTAGACCCTTTCACGTCTGTCACATGTACTCAGGGTGAACCTGCTCTCATCTGTGAAAAGCACAGAGTGCCAGTGGCTGACCTGTCAATTCTGGTGTTCATTGCCAATTGAGCTCTATGGTGCCAGGCAGTGAGTACAGGGCCACTAGAGGACGTCAGGCCCTCAGGCAACCCTCCTGAAGTCTGTTTCCGATTGTTTGGTCAGACAATCACACCAGTGGCCTGCTGGAGGTCATTTTATAGGGTTCTGGCAGTGCTCATCCCGTTCCTCCTTGCACAAAGGAGCAGATACCGATCCTGCTGATGGGTTAAAACCTTCTACAGCCCTGTCCAGCTCTCCTAGAATAACTGCCTGTCTCCTGGAATCTCCAGCTCTTGAGACTGTGCTCGGAGATACAGCCAACCTTCTGGAAAAGTCACGTATTGATGTGCATCCTGGAGGAGTTGGACTGCCTGTGCAACCTCTGTAGGGTCCAGGTATCACCTCACGCTACCAGTAGTAATTCTGACCCTAGCCAAATGCAAAACTAGTGAAAAACAGTCAGAAAAGATGAATAGCGAAAAAAATGTAAGTGACCTCCACCTGTAAAACCATTCCTGTTTTGGGGGTCGTCTCATTATTGCCCATCTAGTCCACCTGTTAATTTCATTAACACCAAAGCAGCTGAAACTGATTAACAACCCCCTCGGCTACTTAACTGACCAGATCAATATCCCAGGAATTTAATTGACTTAATGCTATACTCTGATTAAAAGGGATGTACAATCTAAGGTCCCTAACTCACATTCATACATACACAATCTAGGGCCAATTTAGACAGAATCCAATTAACCTACCAGCATGTGTTTGGAGTGTGGGAGGAAACCCATGCAGGCATAGGGAGAACATGCAAACTCCAGGCAGGTGGTGCTGTGGTTGGGATTCAAACCAAAGACCCTAGTACTGCCAGGTGGAAGTGCTAACCATTTAGCCACTGTGCTGCCTATATATATATATATATATATATATATATATATATATATATATATATATATATATACACGCACACACCATTTTAAGAATTGGAAAGCTGTTACATTATTTTATAATACAATATATTTTTGTTTTCGGGGTTTAATACTGCTTTAAACAAAAAACATATTTTTATTTTCTGGGACAGGTGAGAGTAGATTTCTCCAATAAAGCCTTGGATACAGCAGAAAACTGACAGGTTTAGACATACAGTATTCCTTAGCTAGTAAGAGAAGTCTATTTTCTTTCCATTATTCAGCCAATATTGATTCATAAAAACTTCCTCATACTTTGATGAACTCTTTAATGTTTCCACATAATTTATATGGACAGTATTCATAGATCTTTTCTATAAATCAACATGCATTCCCCATTCTCTGATCCTCTAATGGACTTACCCTAGATGTAGCAAAACTAGGATGAACACTGATGTTGCAGTGATGGATTGTCTCTGTGTGTCTTATGAGCACTATCTTCCATTAAGATGGTTTTTCTCCTCTAGGAATGGGTAGTGTCACTCTGGTTTGGAGCCTATATTAAGTGGAATTGGCAGGACGTGACAAACAATAAAAGGCAACCCAGCAAGAAAAAAAAAAAGAGGAATTGGCAGTAGCAGCAGGT